GGAAGGAGGGAGAGGGAGGGAGGGAGGGGGAAGGGGGAGTGGGGAGGGAGCCTGGCAGAAAGAAAAATTGGGGTGTGGATTAGGTCATCTGCAGGCCTGAGCCAAGAATGCAGGTTCCCAAGTTCCCAGGCCTGGGGTCAGTTCATGGCCACAAGGAGAGGCAGGGACAGCAGAGCAGGACTCCCGGGATGGGTGGGACGGGCATTTAGCCTGAAGAGCCCTGTTCCTGGGGCTGACAAGGAGCTAGGAGCATCTCCAGGCCTCAGCTGAGCAGGGTGGGGAGAGGGTGAGGACACAGAGGAGTGGGGAGGAGGGGGAGCATGTCCGGAGGCTGAGCTGCGAGGGATTTCCAACGAGCGGGGAGAACGCCTCAGGAGGAAGGAGCGTCGCATGGAGGGGTGCTCAGGGCGTGGAGTCCGTGGCCAGAGACGGGTGGCACTTGAGGAAAGGAGGTCTGCCAACGGTTGGGAGTGGTGTGGCCCTTTGTTTTCAGGTGGTTTCTCTGGGCTGTGAGCCCGTCAGCGCCGCCGAACACGCTGCAGGTTCCACCAGGGCCCCTCCTGAGGCAGAGCTGAACGCGGGTCAAAGGAGAAGGGGGAGGAGGGGAGGTTTTGCTGTAACACAGGAAAGTTTTCTAGCCTTGAGATTAAAAAGCCCATGCTGACCTCTCAGCTCCATCCTCACTGGGTGTTTGGGGACACGGTTCCTCCCGTCTGGGCGCGCAAGTGCAGAGGTAACTCCCCCCCCAACACACACAAACACACACACACACACACACACACACCCCGCAAGACTGCCCGGCCTGCGCAGAGGAATGCCAGCTTCCCGACTGCTTGGGACATCCTCCGCCATGTTGCCCTCAGTAACCCAGGGTGGTGCCCTGAGCCTTGAGCCCGCTACCCTTGACCACTTCTCCCCGATACACATAACAATACACACATCCCTTCAGAATGAGCGTTTACAGGCCCACCAGGCTGGGAAAGACCACCCTCCATTTCACTGAAGAGAATACGGAAACCTCTGGGGCCCCCAGGACTTCAAACCTGGGCTAGAACCTGGACCTTCTGTCTCCTACTCATTCCTCACATCCCTGGTCCGATTTTATTTCTCAAGCCCACTAGGAACCCTGAATCTACCTGGATCTGACGCTATACTAGGGTATCCAGTACTGTCAGCCAAGGCCAGGAGGGGCCCTCATCTCACACTGGCAGAAGTTGGGGACCAAGGACCAGGAACTGGATACCCCTCCACGGGAAAGCCACATCTCCCCACGCCTGAACCGGAAAAGACCGCCTTCTGCACTACTGTTTCCATATGAAACTGTGACGAGGTGGGCCGCGCACTTGAAGAGTCAACCCCACCTGCCCCCGAGCATCACCTGTCTTACACTCTAAGCTGAGATTGGGCCGCCTGACCCCTGCACACTCCCAGGAAAGAGAAGTAGCCAGAGGGGACAGGATACAAAACCTTACAAACTTAAATTCTTACCTTGACAGGTTTTCATATTGCTGCTCTCACCAGACTGTGAACTATTCTTTTTTTTTTTTAAGATTTTAAATTGATTTTTTAGTAGGGAGAGAAGGGGAGAAGGAGAGAGAGAGAGAAACATTGATGTGAATGAAACATCAATCAGCTGCTTCCTGCACACCCCCTCCTGGGGATGGAGCCCACAACCCAGGCATGCGCTCTGACCAGGAATCAAACCAGCAACCTTTTGGTGCATGGGATGACGCCCAATCAACTAAGCCACACCAGCCAGGGCAGAACTAGTCTTTTGAGAAGGTTGGCAGTGAGGAAAAGAAGGGATGAAATAGGAAAACATAATTTTTAGTTAAAGTTCTTTTGAAAAATTTGTCGTCTCCCAGTTAGGCAAATGAGAAGGGACCTATCGCTGATTCACACTTCACCGTATGCCGGGCTCACTGCAACCTCACACCAGCCCTCTAAGGAATCGGGGTCTCCAGTTCAAAGATAAAGATTCTGAAACGTTAGTCACTTCCCACGGACCCTCTCTGAGCAAGCAGTCATATGTGACGTGGAGCCTGTGTGCTTTCACACAAAAGCCAAAGCTCTTCCTCCAACCCACACTGCCTGGCCACAGAGATTTCTACAGAGGGCTTCTTAGAAGCGAGAGAGCTGGGTGGAGGCATACAAGTCAGAGCACTTAAAAGGGAAAGGCACAGAACCAAGGCACCAGCTCAACACTGCTGCACCCCTTGAGTTCAGGAGTTCAGTTTAAGTGAGGAACAAACTTTTTGTGGGTGGATGCTGGCTGAACTGAAGAGGAATGACTTCAACAGTCAATCATTTATTGCATGACTTTTATTTGCAAAACATAACCCATGACATAATTCTGGCAATCAGGATGTTTACTTGGGGAGACCAGATTTTTTTTTTAAATATATTTTATTGATTTTTCACAGAGAGGAAGGGAGAGGGATAGAGAGTTAGAAACTGGAACACTTGTTCCAGGATACGATCAGCTGCCTCCTGCACACCTCCCACTGGGGATGTGCCGGCAACCAAGGTACATGCCCTTGACCGGAATCAAACCTGGGACCTTTCAGTCCGCAGGCCGGACTCTATCCACTGAGCCAAACCGGTTAGGGCAGGGAGACCAGATTGTGAACGCATTATATATCAAGCAGTTTCATCAAAATTGATATGTAAAGCCTGGCTGGTGTCGCTCAGTGGTTGTGCATCCACAGTTAGATTCCCAGTTAGTGCACATGCCTGGGTTGCCAGCTCCATTTCCAGTAGGGGGCGTGCAGGAGGCAACTGATCAGTGATTTTTCTCCCATCATTGATGTTTCTCTCTCTCTGTCTCCTTCTCTCTTCCTCTCTGAAATCAATAAAAAATATTTTTTTAAAAAATATATTTTATTGATTTTTTTACAGAGAGGAAGGGAGAGGGATAGAGAGTTAGAAACATCCATGAGAGAGAAACATCCATCAGCTGCCTCCTGCACTCCCCCTTCCGGGGATGTGCCCAAAACCAAGGTACATGCCCTTGACCGGAATCGAACCTGGGACTCTTCAGTCCACAGGACGACGCTCTAGCCACTGAGCCAAACTGGCCAGGGCAATAAAAAATATTTTTAATTGATGTGTAAGGAAAATGCTATAGTATCCTGGAATATGCAGTAAATCCAATTGGCAGGAAACGGGGCTTCCTCACCTGGACTTGGATGGGTGGGGAAGTGTGGGTGTGGGCGTGGGGAGGCCATTCTTCAAGGTGCGGATGAAAGCTGTGGATGGGATGCCTGGTTTGGGAGTGACGAGACGGGGAAGGCGGAGGTGGAGTTCAGGGGGGTTTCCTTAGGGCGGTGAAGGTGTACGGCTGCAATTGGGAAGATTAAAGATCGCAGAATCTTACTAACATAAGTAACCGCATACTTAGCAGTGGACATTCTAGGGCTCCTTGTGTAGTAGGGTGCAATGGATGGGGAGGTCATCCCCAGTTCAAGTGGAAGGCTGGAGGCCATTGCCTGGGCTCAGTTATAAGAATGGGGAGCCCTAGCCCGTTTGGCTCAGTGGATAGAGCGTTGGCCTGCGGACCCAAGGGTCCCGGGGAAGGTTCCTGGTCAGGGCACATGCCTGGTTGCCAGCGCGGTCCCCAGTGGAGGGCGAGCGGGAGGCAGCAGATCAATGATTCTCTCTCATCGTTGGTGTTTCTCTCTCTCCCTCTCCCTGCCTTTCTGAAATCAATAAAAATACATTTTTTTAAAAAAATGGAGAGGAGGGAGGAGGGTGGGTTTTACAATGAGATGGAGGAACGCTGAGGGCACTGGGTCGTCTGGCCTGCAGGGCTGGGTGGGTACCAGCTTCGGACGCGTTGGGGAAATCTGGAAGGGTGCCCACCCCATCAGCAGGGGATGACCGCGTGGCCACGGGGACCAGC